TTCATGTATATTATTTAGATTCTTTTTCTTTTTGTTGTGTTTTTCAACAAAATGCAGTGAAATAAAGTTTGATCCTGTTTATAACAGTGATATACTGTGTGTTAATTTAAAGAAACTCTCTAAATTAAAGTTTGGAAATCCAAAGTTTTCCCTCTTTTGTGAATATTAAAGCTTTTTGAAAACGTTTGCAGACACCAGTGACACCTGAGTTGAGCAGAAATGACACAGTTTGAAGTGTTTTCACCTGGGTTTCTCCTGAGTCTCTATCTGCTGGATGATGCTCTCCATCCAGGCAGTCAGGTCTCGCACCATGCTGAAGAAGCGGAACTTCTCAGCTGTGTCCACCAGCTGCGTCCGGCGGCCATCAGAGGCTTCCAGCAGACCCTTCCAGGCGTCCACCACCTCCTTCTCAGTGGCCCTGATGGCGTTGGCTCGGTCCCCGGCGTACTGAGCATGAAGCCTGGAAGCTGTTTCCTGGAACTGCTGAACCTGGAGGATGGAAAAACATCGAGTAGATGCAATTATTCTGGAACAATGAAAGTCAAGCATGGACTGCTGTTAGCTCTGTGCTTATTGTTTCACAAATGCTACGTTTTAAATTTTAGCAAAAGAACAAGCAGCTAAAATCTTTCTTACTGTCAACTTTGAAGCCAAAACAAGAGCTGATAGGTACTTATTCTCCTATTTCTTTTTCACCTTTACCCTAAAAACATTACAGTATATGTAGTATGATATTCTGCCACAGAAAAGCAGAAGCAGAAATTAATGTTTGTCCTGTGTCTATGGCTACGTTCACACTGCAGGTCTTAATGCTCAGTTCCGATTTTTTGAAAAAATCCGATCTTTTAGTGTGAACGTTCACGTTACATTTTAAATGTGGCCTGCATCAGACCCGTGTGAATGCTACACAGCACTGATGTGACACGCATGTGCAGTAAAAGACATGACGTCTCATCAGCCGGCTTGTTTGTTTACAGASCTAGCATGGATGCTACATTTTGCACATCGAATCTGCAGTTGTTGTTTAATCAGAGCCGATTAAATAATTATCTGACCTGCTTCTTTAGTTCAGTGTTTATATCTGAA